AAATTCCCTCTCAGAGACTGGCAACCATCTGAAAACTTCAGGTCGCCCTTCAAACAGCAGCGGTGACGTCCCCAGGACGTGGCAGCTCTTGCGCCCTCGGAGAGCAGCTGTCTGTCGGCGTGCGCCTCCAGGGTGTGTGTCCCGTGTGGCCGCCTTTTTGAATAACAGTCCCCGGGTGTGGTTTGCCATAAGTCTGCAGAAATACTGTGAGTGTGAAAGGCAGATCTTTGCCATTCACTCCCGAGCAAGTCCATACGCTGTCCCTTCTCAGAGGCATTTATTTCTCTATTCTAAGCGGGCCCGAGCCTCTCATCCAGATGCGTGTCGAGTGCCCAAGTCAACAGTGGAAAACCATTTCTTAACGATTTAAGCATTTAAGTTTGATGTGTGACCCGAAAGAGGTAAAATGTTTTGAACTAACAAAAATAATAGGATGTATTTTATAATTTTGTAAAGTGTAAGAAAAGGCAGTGGATGTTAAGAGTAAAAATCATCACATAATAAAATGATAGAATACAAATTTCTGGAGGATATGGGCCAAACGCATATCCCTGGGCGTCAGAACCGAGACGCAGGGGTTTGGAGGTGCCATCTGCCTCTCACTCAAGCGCTGTCATGCCTGGTGTCATGGGACCACCGTGCAGAAGGATAATGCTGCCTGGGTCACAGCCCCTGACACAGAGATGATCGGAGGACGGAGAAAAGCAAATGCTGAAGAGCTGAGCAGAGTCCGGAAAGATGTTCTCCTAGGCGTGGGACTGCAGCATCTTTTTAAGCTTGGCCACTGGCTTCTTAGTTAGTTTTAAGAGGATGGTGGAACAACTGTTCCACATTTACTGGCCTTGGCGCTGGGAGCCTGTCGTTCAGGATGGGGGCAGGTCGAAGAGAGGCCAGGGAGGGGCTCTGCTGCTGGGTAGTGGGGGGAGGGAGGCGCTGTCCTCCATCCTGTGCTACTGGGCGAGAGCCGGAGGCTGGGACCACATAACTTTGCTGCCCCCTCAAGGGGCGCTGGGAACTGAGGCGTGTGGCTGGAGTTAGCTGCCAGCCGCCCTGGTCTCCCAGCAGCTTCTGAGCCTTCTGGCTTCCTGTGTGGCCTGGCAGTGTCCCTGGAGAGCCAGACTCTCTGCACCCCCGGAGGCCTTGCAGCTCTGGGTAACAAAGAAGAAGTCAGTCCCTGCTGCCAATGTCACACAATCAGCAGGCCCAGCTTCCAGGACAAGGGTTAGCCGGGTGCCACCCGGACTTGTCCAGCAACCCCCTCTATGGAGACAGAAAACGCCGGTTCCCACCACCTGCCGAGCGGGCTCCGGCGCTGCAGCCCAGGGGCTCTTCGCAGCTGGTCCCAGGTTCTCCTCAGAGATGAGGGGCATTCAAACCACTGGCTGCCTTTGTCAGCTGATCGGTCCAGCTCTCTTTTCCAACCCATGGATCCCCTCCCACCTCTGCAGGAATCCTAGACTTTTAGATGAGGCAGAGACCTTAAAAAGCAGTCCATCCACGCGCTCTCATTTCACAGATAAGCCATTAGTCAGGCTAACGACTTGATTGCACACAGTCTGCAAGCTGGCCCGTCTCCTGCCTCTGCCCAGTGGGGGTCAGGGCCGGTGGAGGGTGTCAGCAACCCAGGATTCTTGAGTCCCGACTTGGGGACCTGCCGCCATCGGCTCCACCTCTGCAGGGGGAAGCCCTGCCTGCTCTGTGCCGAAGGCCACGTCTCATCCTCTCTGTCTGGCTGCCATTGCTGCACTAGGCCCCTGCTGCCTCTGGCCATGCGGTTCTCCTGTGCATTAGTTTGCTATGGCTGCCATATCAGAGTACCGATTTCTCATAACTCGGGAGGTTAGAAGACCAAGATCAAGGTGTTGGCAGGCTTGTTTTCTTCTGAAGATCCCTCCCTTGGCTTGTCCAAGACTGTCTTCTCCCTTCATCTTCCTAATGGTCTTTTTTTTGTCTATGGGCAGGTCTGGCCTGTGTTCTAATCTTTTCTCCTTATAAGGATACCATTCAGAAAGGATTAAGATCCATCCTAAAGATCTCATTTTAACATAATCACCACTGTAAGCATTGTGTCTCCAAACACAGTCACATTCTGAGGTACTGGATGTCGGGGTTTCACCATGAGTTTGGGGGGCACACCATTCCGCCCAGGATAGCCTGCTTCTATTCCACTTTAGGCACCAGAAGCCCGCTCCCACCTGCCCCAGTCACCGGGCTTCCCGACACTCGGGAGAGAGTGGATCAGTCTGAGAACACGGAGCTGCAGCCCTGCCCTCCAACTGCCCCTCTCAGCTGAGGCATGACTCCCCTCCGGTTGCCCCGGAGGCAGGAGTTACGCCTCAGCTTTTCTGTAGGCTCCCTGTGAAGGGAGCTCCAGCCAGGAAGGGGCGCTCAGCTTCCTGGTTCCCTGCAACGTAGGCTAAGCCCCCTGGTTCCCTACAGCTGCTCCCCTGCTTGTGTGGTGGAACCCACCCACGTGGATGTTGAAATCAGGGCGTCCAGTTGCTCTCCCGATGGGCAACCTCTCGTTGGCAGCATTTGGGCACTGCTCCCCTGCCTACTATTAGCTATGCTAAGGATTTAATGTGACGATTTAATAGAGAGCTGCAGTAGCTTGGTAAGGTCCCTACCATTGCTCTCATGTTATAGGTGAGAAAGAAAAGATTCTGGGAGGTAGCGGGAACACAGCTGGGACGCAGAAGAGCCCAAATTTGAACCCAAATCTACGTGGCTCCAAGACTTCACTTCTCTCCATAACCCTACCCTGCCCCCCATCTGACCCGACTGAACACCCCATGCGTGTCCTGGGAACTGTGTCTCACCTTCTGGGTCATTCCCAGGTTCCAACCCCGTGTCACTCTCCCCACATCATTTCCTGAAGACAGAGCGGAGCACAGTGTCAAGGGGAGAGATGGACTTTGGGGTTATGGTCAAGTTCAAATGCTGGCCACACCGCAGAGTAGCAGGTGGCTCTGGGTAGGTCAAATACCGCCAGTCGTCCCAATAATATGTGCTTATGGATGTATTTGTGTGCATTGTAAATGTTGGTACAGTTATATGTGTATTTTGTTGGAACAACTGAAGGAATCTGAATGTGGACTTTGGATCAGATGTGAATCAAAATGGGATTCTGGAATGAATCTGATAATGTCAAGCATCAGGAAGTAACCTCACAGGTGATCTGGTCCTGAATTCCTCACTGGGCAGGTCATGGTCAGCAGTCACGCCCCAGGCCTACAACTTCTTTAGTAAAAGTTTCACCTTTGCCTTGAGCAAGCCCTGCCCTTGTTTTTGTGCCTCTAGGTAAACCATACCTTTGAAACGCCAGAGTAGCCTCTTCTTTTGGCCCTGGGGAGGTATGACCACCCTCCAGGGAGCAGAGTCTTGTAACTACCCCGGAGTCCAGTCATAGAGATTTGCCCGCCTCGCTTTCTCCCGCCTTCCTGTCCATTCCCTCCTTCGTCCCAGGTGTGTAAGAGGAACTGCAGAATGGTCTTTCTGCAGAGCATTCCAGATCTCGCTTCCCAGCCCACCACCAGTTTGGCTTACATAAGCCCCTATAAATATTCTCTACAAGTCTGGGCATCTCTCACATTGACTTAGCTCACAGTATGGCACCGATGCTCCATGTCCTGATGTGGTCGTGGGGCTGTGGCTGCGGGGAAGGCTGCCCCTAACCCGAAGACACACACGCTGAAGTAATTCAGGATGAAGTGTTCCAACAGCTGCCGCAGACACTCAAATGGTTCATCAAAGGAATGCACACACACGTGTGTGTGCTGATGGGCACCATGTGCACAAACACGTTGAGAAACAAGCAGACATGACAAAAACGAGACTTCCTTGTACTGTTATTGCAACGCTTCTGGAGGTTTGAAGTTTCTCAAAAGGGCAAAAGGGCTTTCTGCAAGAACTGGGGTGCAAGCCTGGGGGACAGCACGGTGCGGTGTGGGAGTCGATGCTGCTTTCCCCCTGCTCCCCTGCCACAGCCGCGGGAAACTGCCTCTTCTGCCTGGGAGTCCGCTCTCCCATTTCCCCAGAGGGCTCCCCCCCACCTGCCTTCTCAGCAGGGTCCCCACCCAGCATTTTAGAGATTTGCAGAAGCCCAAATTTCAGGTTGCCAGGTTTAGAAGGCAAAAATACTGAATGCCCAGTTAAAACATTAAAAAACGGACAATGTTTTTAGTGTAAGTATGCCTCAAACAGTGCATGGGTCATAACTTGTACTAAAACATTATCTGTAGTTAACCTGAAGTTCAAATTTCACTGGACATTCTGTATTTTAGCTCCCCGTGACCCCCCACCCCCTGCCGTTGAAGTCATAGTCCTCTATGAACAAACACTGAGTCTTAAGACCCAGCAGAGACGGTTCTCAGGCCCCCAACGAGGTGTGCAAATTGCCGCCGTGACCAGGGCCCTCTGCCCCACACTTACGAGCAGGCACCCAGGAAGGCAGCTGGTTGGGCCGGGACAGGACCATGGGCTTCAGGGAGGGAGAGAAGAGCCCCCAAAGCCCCCCAAGTGACTCTAACCCCGTCCTGCTGTGTAGGAGTGTGGTGTGCTGGGTGCCTCCCTCCCCGCTTCTCCCCTCCCTCCCTCCCTCTTTGCCTTGCAACTCCCCGGCCCAGCCATCCAGCCTCACACACAGCCCTGTGGCTGCCAGCAGGGCATTCGGAGCTGGCTGGCTGGCTGGCTGGGGTTTGAATCAGCCTCCCCACTTACCGGCTGGGTGCGTGTGGGTAGTGAATTATCTGACCTATCTCCGTTTCCTTGTCGGTGAGATCCAGGTGATTAACAGCACCTCCCTCACCGCCTGGCTATGAGGATCAGCAGAGCTAATGTCTGCAGAGCACTCAGGAAACTGCCTTAGCTGCACGTAGGCAGCCTGGTATAAGTTAAATGAATAAGCTCTTGCGGGAAAAGGCTAGGATCTCTGAGCTGCAATTTACCATAAACTACTGTTCAACCTACCGTTCCGAGGCCCCAGGACCCTGCGGGGACTTTGCCCTGTAGACGTGGGCAAGGCACTCAAGTCTCAGGGCTCACTGGGGGCCGGGCGCTTGCTGGCGTGAACTCGAGCATGTGACAAGGAGGCAAAAAGCTGGACAATGTGGAGCAGTGTCTGTGCCTCCGACCCAGCTTGGGCTGGGAGAGACTTGGGCCCTGGGGAAAAAGCGGCTCAGCTTCTGGGGAAGGAACCTGGTGGACAGCCCGTCGCCATGGTAACTTACGCAGAGTCTCCTTTGCTCTTTGATGTCTTTTTTTGACTCCCTCTGGGCCTCCTTCCCTCCTCTCTCTTTAATTTTCAGTTCTGTTTCACGGCTTCCTGTCCTCCGTGTAGACTTGTGCCTCAAAAGGAGAAAAACAATCATTTGTGTAGTAGTGGTGCTCAGGGCTGTCGAGGGTTATGGTGGTGGCAGGTCACCTGTGTCCCCAGTCAGAGAAGCATTGATGGTGGCAGATTGACTCGGGGGTCCGGGGGCTGACCCGAATCTTGTGTCCCCAAGTGGATGGGCCTCTCGGGCGGGGGGGGAGGGAGGCCACGGTGACTCACCCTAGCAGGAGGGAATGATGCTTAAAACGAAAGAGAAGCATTCTGCCTGCAGCCGGGGCCTCGCCCTCCTCCTGGGCAGGTTCACAGGAGAAGGAGCCCCTCCGCGACTCCAGTTCCCAGCAGCCCAGTGAGCCCGACCCTCAGGTCTTTCTCGCCAAGGGCCCGGACACACTGGCGCAGGATCAAGCTGTCACTTCTGTGCCCAGTCCCACGTCCTGACCCACGGAATCCACAGTAAAATGGTGGCTGTCTTACACCGTTGAGTTTTGGGTTGGTTTATGACGGACGCAGCCACAGCAACCAGCAAGGGTTCCATGGGGAACTCAGCCTTCTTACGGCTGATATATTTGCATTTTTTCCAAAAATAACATTGCTATAAAAATAGAAATTCAAGATGTAATTGAGTCATGATTTCATCACCTAAACGAAACAAATTTTTGTTTGCTCACAACTGTCTTTCGAATTCACGAGTGCTTCCTACCAGTTCACTGTGTGGTCGGCTATAGAGAACCAACATTCTCTCTTCCATGAGGACCAGCCCGGATTCGTGTGAAAGACGAGTTTGTCAATGACACTTATTAAAGATGGTGGGAAAGGGGGTCATCACAATGGCTCGGGGACCAGCGGGAAGAGAGAATAAACTCAACTCCTCACACAGCTCGGGTGAGTCGGCATTTACAGCCGAGGAGCAGGGGGTGTTGGTGGACATAAAATTACTAGGAGGAAGCATCAGGAATAGAGGACGATTCTGGCTGTTGTGACCCAACACGATTCTTGCAGAAGGCAGGCCAGGTGATCAGACATCACGGGGGAGGTAGCGGAAGAGGAGGCAACTGATTAGATACCAAGGGCACTCAGGATATTGACGGCGGGGAGTTCTCGCTAAATGGACTCCATCAGGATCTGCCTGTGATGGGAAAACGTGGGGAAGGGCACCGACGTCCAAAGCTGAGGCCTCGCTGGGAAAATCTCACCTGAGCCCAGAAGAGTGTGGTCGATAAGAGAAATGTCACCACTCATCAACTTTTTTTAAAAATAACAGAGTTGCAATCAAATCTTGCTGTCCTGAGATAGGCGTTTTCACCTAATGATTGACTTTGAATATTATTGATAGTGATCTATGCTACACTAACTTAATAGTTTAAGGCCAAAGGGCATGTTAGTTACCTAATTTCCAAGCTATTGCTGATGCTACCGGATACTTACCTTCTGTCCCATCTCTAGTCCACCTGTACCAGTTTTCCCTTACTTCTTTCTCTTTCCTTCTCTTACTGCTTTTTCCCTAAGATAGGTTTGTCAGTCGTATTGTCTGGGACACCGGAGTTTGGTAAAATCCCAAATATCTAGATAGCTTCAAACGTGGACTGAGCCTAACAAGAGGTTCACGTATTCCTAAGAGTCTGGAAGACTTCAGTAAAGTTCTCCATTATGCCAGTGGCTGGTTCAGGAGTTTCGATTCAGTGCCAGTTCACTCTGCTTTGTGGGTCAGGCTGCAGATTCTGTGCTTAGGTCTTTGGATCTACCAATGCCCCGGTCTCCTCAAATCCCTCTCCCGGAGGCTTTCTGCCTGTCTCCACGGCCTCTGCCCACCAGCTGGGCGGGGAGTGTATCGGAGCCCCTCCCTCCAGCACAGAGCCAGGGATACAGACAGGGGTTTATGTCCGCAGGCGACATTCCCTGGGATCTCCACAAAGATGACCTTTGAGAGCCTATTATTTTATGGAGGGAGCATGTTTAGACTGTTGGGGACAGACCAGGGGACCCAGGGCGAGGGTCGTAATTTGGAGGATGCGGCCCAGCTGTGTACGTGCAAGGCTGGTCAGTCTGTATTTAAAAGTTTAATATTCTGTTTGTCATGGATTTTATTCTTTGCATTCATCTTAATTTTTAGAAAGCATTGCTAAAAGTGGTGTTTGCCTTGATGGCCGAGTTTTGTTCCCCACCCCCTTAAATTTTGCACCCCCTTCCCGACAAGATCACAGGCCTTCGGTCTTGTTCTGGCTCTCGGGCGGGGGCAGGGAGTGAATGCAGACACACGGCTCGGGTCGACTCTTCACCCTGCTAAGCCCCTGACTTCCCTCTTCTCTCACTGCAGCTCCACTCCATTGTCGCCTTTCTCTCACCTTTCGAAGGCCGGTCTCACGCAAACGCTGGGCTGTCTAGTTGGTGTCTGTACCTGGAACAGGAAGTAAAGGACTGAGGAGACGAGTGCCACAGAACTGAGCCCAGGTGACTCTCATTCAACAGATGCAGAGAAGCGAAGTAACTCGTTTTTCTTTCCAAGAATAATCAGGGCAATTATTCCCACGTCCTGGCTTGTGCTGGGGGTCCGGTGATGGCCCTCCACAGTGATGTGCACAAAAGGACAACTTTCTTTATGCAGACAATTTGATTCATCAGAATGGTTTGATCAAATACAGAAGTCCATTTTATTCAAGAGTGAATAGTGCGCCCCTTCCTGACCCCCTTCCATTCCTTCCAGCTGGGGAAGGTCTGAGCTTCGAGGGTTGTACCTGGGCTGGTTGAGGCTTTGGGAGGGGTGAGGCGGTCTGCTTCTCCATGCACATAAGGAGAAGCTGGAAAAATGTTCAAACATAAAATATTTTTAAATGAAAATAGTGCTATAAAAGTGGCAGAGTCAGAATACGATGCCCCTCACTGGCCGATTGGAAGCGTTCAATCTGTACTTGTTATTATGAATATTAATATAAACTTGTAATAAAGTTCAAAGAAAAGCTAATAAAACGGCAGATTCCTCTGATGTTCAGCACTACAGGCAGATGTGACGGGTGCCTTCCCTCCTTCCCGCCTCCCCACGAGCACTCGGAAATGCTGGCAGTCACTTGGCGTTGGCTTCTTAGACGGCAGTGTACCATGGCCATCCAAGTGAACCAGATCCAGTTTTGTCTACATCTTAAATACTGACAGATGTGGCTTAGTAACGAGACTCTAAGGTTCTGCTTGGCCAGACTAGGCATCAAGAGAAACATCTTCTTCCAGAAGTCTCGAGGAATGGGCCAGAGCGGTCTCCCACCGTGTGGAGGGAGAACCTGCTGGGTGGATTGCCGCACGGCCCCACGCATCAGAACATCGCAGCTCCTCTCTCTGGGATGTGTTTTGACTGAAGCTTAATTCATCTTCCAAAGGAATTTAAAATACATTCTTTACCTGTAACATATATTTGGCAACACTTTGAATTTCGATGTGAACCTGAGCAATGTAGGCACAACTAAATCTGGGGGCACGTTACTGCCGCTGACAGGTCAGAGTCTTCCCTCTCCCCAGTGCTCAGTCAGAAGCCCAGAGACAGTAATTAAGCCATTACAGAAACACAACAGGGTGCGGCATAATAGAACCATCATCCTGTCAAGGAGCAGGGAATCCGGACGACACAAAGGAGCACAAGGCATCCGGTTTAGTCCTGCGGTGGAAATGCTGAGGGCCAGGGCCCTCCACGGGGGGGGGGGGGGAGTGATCTCCTGTTTGCTCCTCTCCATTGCAGAGCGTCTAGTGAACTGACCTGCAACCTTTCCAGTTTACCCTCAGCATCCTCTCCTGCCCTGACCCAGATTGTTAATCTATGGAGGAGCAGGGCAATGACCTGGGCAGCAAGGATAGTCGTTAAGCTTTTGCAAAGCACTGGGTGGCATTTCAGGACTTCTGATGCACAGCGCTGGGGTTAAGCAGTGCAGGTCGGGCCAGTCCTGGGTGCTGTTCTCTCCATGTAGTTTTGTCCTCATGCAACTGGAAATGGGGAGTCCAGGTGTTTTTTGAAAAGACTGAGTTTGCAACATGGCCTCAAATGCAGGAGTTGCTGGGAGGCCAAAGGACAAAGCAGACAAGTCCAGCCTGTTGTTTCACAAGAGAATTTACAGAAACCACAGTCCTGGGTGGCAGCAGGACAAGAGGGTGCTGCCCCGTTCTCCCACAGAGCTCCTGTTTCATAACCATGTGGAGAGCGGGACCAACAGAATGTCACTGGTCCAATGGAGACAGCATGAAGTATGTAAGACAAAGTGGAGTCACTTACATCAACTAGAATGACAGTCCGTCAGCCATGACAGTTTGGTTCGAGAGGAAAATTGCCTCAGTCCGAGCAGACACGTCTGACAAGGAGACACAACCAGGATATCTGCACAGGTGGTCAGAGTAGCCGTGTCTGCAGAGCGGGACCCCCACAGATGGGCTCCTCAGCAAACCCCCACATTTGTCAAAAAGGCCCAGAAGGGTGGAGGCACCACTTTCAAGGTACAACTGAGGCAGGCTCCAGACCACTGCTGAGACCGCCGAGCCCCACCCCCAGAGGGCTGCTCCATGCCACGCTGATCTCTCGGCACCGGCAGCCAGAGGCTCTGCCCTGCTGGACTGAGGACTTCACCTGCCCTGCTGCCCACCTGGCTCCTACCAAGATGCTGAGGACTCCCTTGGCCACCCTGCTGTCTCCCGGACCTGCAGACTGAGACTCTGGGGCTCAGGTTTGTTACCTCCCATTGATTGCTGTGTGTATATGTGATATTTCTCTTATATTGTCAGAGCGTGAGTAGGATATTAATGTATGTTGATGTTCTACTTTGTGTGAAGCTGCATTCAATAAAAGCTGGGTGAACAGCATAGTTACATGTGCCTCTTGTCTATTGCTTGGTGCCTGGACGCTCAGCAGACAGCAAGGTGAGCAGTTGCCCCACTGACTTATGGGAAAGACTGTATCACAAACAGATGCTGACGACAATCTGCTAAGAAACGAACCTGCGTAGGCAGAAAGGAAGGCCGGGGAGATGGAACTGACCGAAGGGACCAGATACCGGCGGCTCTGGTGACAGAGTGATTTAAAATGCAGATAGCACTGAAGGGGCCTTGCCCCGGAGGAAGGGACAAATAGTGTGGGAAGGATTAAGGGTCACTCTCCAAAGATGCGATGGAGCCTCTGACTCAACCCAGAGTCCGCCTGGTGAAAAAGGGGAGGGGCTCCAGGGGTCCAGCAGATTAGTTTTAAAATGAGGACAGCTTCTAAAGAGTGAGTGAGTCAGCTCCCTGCACGCACCGAGTCTTCTTTGGCCTTAAGTAACTGCTTTATATCGACGCCTTAGAATATTAAATGCCAAGGCTGGGAAGCACCTTAGAAGTTACCTAACTGTGGAGTGACCAAGGGGTTTTAATACAGGCCACGACTTGGACCCGTCAGTAGCAATGGTTGGAGAGCACCTTGAGGATTGGGAAGATGACCAGGGCTCAGTGGGAAGGAGTGCCGTGGTTGGTTCTGGGTGTCCGGCGTGGCTGTGGGCTGTGGGCTGGGGGCAGTCACTTCACAGACATCCCTGTTTGTCCTACTCTCTTCTTTCACTAGCTGAATCCCCTGGCCACAGTGATTGGCTCAGAAGTAGGCATGTGATTCAAGTTGAGCCAATCAGAGTCTTCTCCTGGGACTGTAAGAAAGAAATCATTAATCTTCATAGAACTGTAAAGATATGTGGCCCCAGACCCTCCAGGGGTGTGGACCCTGCTGAGTGGAGAGGCTGCTAAGAACTGGGCCCAGGGACAGACAGACGAGAGCTGCGATGACAGTCCTGGCAGAGTCCCTCTCCACTTGTGCTTGAGGCCAGCGCGACCTCTCCCTTCCCTGTCACGTAAGCTGGCGAAATCACTATTTACTTCTAAATCGTGCGTGCGCCCTGCAATACCAAGCCCTGGTCTTTCATGCTTCAAATCGTATCTTGGGTTAACACTTCTCCAGAAACGGATGAATGCCTACGTTCCCCGGGAGACTTGGCAGGCCAGCTGTACTTATGTTATCAGATAACTTGGCTCCCATTGAATGATAACGGAACCCAAAGGAAATGCCACACACAGCTGGGGGCTTTGATAGAAGAAGAGAACTGGGGAAGCTCTGGGTCATGGGGGACACAGGCCAGGGAGGCACGGGAAGAGGAGGTGACACTGACCAAATGAGAGAACGCAGGTAGAAGCAAACCATGTCAATCCTAGACATTGGGAGAAATGTGGGTATTGGAGAGGAGAAGGGAGAGGAGAGGGAGAGAACCCTTCCCAGGTCTGCTTCATGCCTGTGCACTCACACAGGGTTTGCAAGCGTCCTGGGCACTCATGGCAGTCTCAGTCACCTGTTCTGGTCACAGGCCCCATGGCAGGCAGGTGTGCTGTGGGCCTGTCCCCAAGGAAGGCAGCCACCTGTTCCTGGGCTCTCTTCCTGGGCTCCCAGTGCTCCCCCACATCGAGACCCTGTGTCCGTCTTGGCATAACCCTGCCCTGGGAGGCTGCCTGGAGGGCCACCGGGGAGGCTCCTGAAGCCCTGGGAGGGGGCACAGACAAAGTGTTCCCAGCTTTCTGGCCCACTGCAAGGCAGAAAAAGAGACCCATGTCAAAGCAACACAGAACAACGGCATTTGAAATCCTGCCAAGTGTTCCTACTTCTTGGTTGTCAGCAGTTGAGGTTGAGACAATAGTGAAAACAGTCCTTTTGGCTTCTACCTAAACTTTAACAGAAAGGAAAAGAAAAAACACCCAGCTTCAGAACTGGAACTGGAATGGCGTCCTCACCTTATTTGCCCCGACCCTGAGTTGCCCTGCGCTACAAGGAATCGGGAACACGGGCCTGGAAACACTGTGTTTATGGGACACGGCTCGGGCCCTCCATCTCTGAGTCACAGCCCTTGGAGCTGCTGCTGATTTAACAGCCATGTGGGAGGGAAGCGTTTTTGCCAACTTGAGAGCCCCCTCCTTAGGTTCCACATTAAACAAACTTCAAAACTTCAATCTTTCAGCTTTGGGAGTTTGTTTTCCCTTGGAAAACGCCTGGATCCCTTTTCTCTGCAAGAAGGGGAAGAAATGGCTAAGAGCGCAGATGCCAGGTTTGTTGGGCATGAAATCACTGTTGGACAACTCATTTTTCCTGAGTTAAGTGTCAAAAAATCCGCAGTGGACAGAACCAGCTTTCCTGAAATTACACAGGGGTGCGTAGATGAGAGCACACTTCCTGAGCGGTCGGGCTGGGGCAGCACTGCCCCTTCTGGGCACCGGGTCCCTCCCAGCGCAGCGGGCGAGGGGCACACTTCCAGCACCAGGGTCCAATCGGTAGCTGTGCAAGTCCCCAGCTCTTGGCTTTGCTCAAATGCCTTTGTCTGAGAAGCTATGAGGCCAGCTTCTAGTTTGCTTGGAAGGTCTGCAAGTTTTCATTTTGGAAGTGTCACTTGATGATTTTTTTATGGGGATCTCAGGAAAACTCATAAAGAATTAGTTTTATACGGCCTGGCGCGGAGGAAGGCTGTATCCTCTGTATTTAGCAACAGTGACCGAGGGCTCCTCTGTCTACCGGGGGCTGCCTGTCCCTGAAGCTGTCAGAGTGCAGAAGTGGGTGCTCTGGAGTTTTCCATGCCTGCCTCCGTGGGCTCTGACCCGTGGCTCTCTCCATCTCCCTCTCTTCTGGCTGGTTTGGCACAATAGCCTTCCCATGCAGGTCTTCTATGGAGGCTCAGTACAGGCTATGACCTCGTAGGTCTGCGCAGTGGAAGGTTCTTTTAGGACATCTGTACATAATGTGGCTTTTCTCAATGAATGTACTGCACACCGGATTCCCTTACATGTGCGCAGGTGTTAGGACTTTGTATCGTTGTAAATTGAAATGAATGACATTACTTAACATCCAGGTAGCACAGAGCCCACCTTAAAACCCTGGGAGTAAATTATAGCTGGTTCCAGAAGGAAAGAAGAGACTCCGGAAGGTGGCAGGGAGCGTAGGGAGTGGAGCCGCCCTAGAAACGTGGTGTTGTCCTTGCAGGTTTTGGCCTCTGGATAGACCAGTAGCCCAGACCTCTCAGTGCACAGAGCAGGCTGAGGCCCCAGAATGGGCCCCAAGCTGCACCGCACGGGGCCTGGGGTGCAGGCCAGCTTTGCTGCTCCAATGCCCTCCAGTCCCTTGCTGTACAGAGCAAGAATCCAGTGCATCATGGGCCCGTGGGCAGGGCAGGGTTCTGCTCATGGTGTTCATGGGTCCTGACATACAGAGCAGGGGACAGTCCTTTCCTCCAGTAACCATCTGTGAAGAGGCACAAGTGCCCCCGGGAACAGCGTGTCCTCGGGTCACTCTTGACTGAAGTATAAATGACTTCTGAGAGCTGAATAAACCAGTCGGTGAGTCCACTCTTTGAACTTCTCTGACTGGATGGTGACTCTGAGACTGAAAATCTTCAAAGATCTCAGCCCATGGAATCAATAATTCATTTTTCAAGTTGCCAGGGTTAAGGCAAGAATTCCACTCAGCAAGCGGGGCTGTGGACCTGTGGGGAGCAGCCTCCCAGACACTAAAAATGCCACTGAGCTGGGAAAAGGACAGTCCATGCCCCTGAGGAACTGTCTAGGGAAGAGCAAAGGACAAGGACAAGCATGGTTACTGGATCAGTACAGAGAGCGGCAGGACTCAAGCGCGAGAACAGCCGAGGAGGTTGGGTGTGGGGGAGGGAAGATGGAGAAGGGGTAAGGGCTCTTTTCATGCAAATACTGTAATTACGTAAGTCAGAGTTACACAAGGCAAAAACCCATCTGAAGTATGGGTTTTTGTCATAAAAAACCCATATTTTGACATAAATATGTCATATGTCACATATGTGAGTTGTCGGTCTTCCAGCTTTCTGGCATCTCTGTGCCACACTGGAAGAAGAAGAGTTGTCTTGGGCCACCCATTAAATACATCAGGGCATGTAATCACAAAATAATCTCATAATATTTTAAGCAAATTTATGATTTTTTAAAAAGATTTTATTTGTTTATTTTTAGAGAGGGGAAAGGAGGAAGAAAGAGAAGGAGAGAAACATCAGCGTGTGGTTGCCTCTCAAGCTCCCCCCACTGGGGACCTGGCCTGCAACCCAGGCATGTGCCTTGACTGGGAATTGAACTAGCAACCCTTTGGTTCACAGAGCAGCACTCAGTCAATCCACTGAGCCACACCAGCCAGGGCAAATTTACAATTTTTAAAAGATTTTATTTATTAATTTTTAAAGAGGGGGGCAGGGAGGGAGAAAGAGAAGGAGAGAAATATTCATGTGTGGTTGCCTCTTGCACACCCCGCACCAAGCACCTGCCCACATCCCAGGCACGTGCCCTGACTGAGAATCAATCCCGCGAATATTTGGTTTGCAGACGGGCACTCAATCTACTAGACCACACCAGCCAGCGAGTAAGTTTGTCATTTTGTGTTGGCTGCTTTCACAGCCACCCCGGGCTGCACGCGGCCTGTGGGCCACAGGTTGGATGCCCCTGGAGAGAGTCGCAGCGGAGCCGCTCCCCCAGTCTGAGCAAGCAGGGGGTGGCGTCTTCTTTCCATGTCACTGCAGAGGCAGCCAGGGAGAGTCCGGTCCTGGGACACACAGAGCCGAAAGCTGGACCCGCATCCACTGCCTGTGGCTGAGGCTGAGCTGTGGCTGGGGCCACCCCTCGACACAGAGACCGGCACGGCGGCATTTTCTTC